ACACACACACACACACACACACACACACACACACACACACACACACACACACACACACACACACACACACACACACACACACACACACACACACACACACACACACACACACACACACACACACACACACACACACACACACACACACACACACACACACACACACACACACACACACACACACACAGGGTGTACGGGCTGGAAGTGGCGCACTGGCCGTCGTGTCATCGCGAATACCGGGAGCAAAACCGGGAGAGATACGGCTCTCGATGTCGAGGCGTCAATAGCTTTCGAGTGGCGAACGATTGGCATTTAGAAAGCCCCGATGAATTGAGCTTGGCGGGCTCTCGCGCGGAAATGCAGAATGACTGCATTCTGCGCGAAACGCTCAAGTATCCTGCTCGGAGCGCGCCGCCGTTATGCCGTTTTCGCGACTTATATACTTTGTCAGAGATTGAGTCATTCATCCTTATCCCCGGCAATCAGGATCCTATAGAGCGGGATTAAAGAACGCGGACGCGCGGCGGTGATTTATAGTGCGTTAGATGCTTTAAATTGGTCGATTTACTGTCGTACGATTGAGCAAATATATTTCCATTTGCAGTCTACGGCGGGGACCAGGAGCTAATGTGCAAGACGCCAGTGGCTACTCGGCCCTTCATCATGCAGCTTTGAACGGGCACAGGTACGGTATATACTCGAAATATTCGAAAGAAAAAGAGAGAAACCCTACCATATTATTTCCTGGGATCTCGTTGTGTGGACACTTGCACGTCGGTTAACTCGGCCTGCATCTGTCTCGTGCGCTCTAAACACTCTAAACACGTTTCCTCAAACACTTACTTGCAGAGACGTGGTCAGATTACTGCTCCAATACGAGGCTTCCACCAATGTCGTCGACGCTAAGGGTTCCTCGCCGCTTCATTTGGCCGCTTGGGCGGGGGATGCGGAAATTGTACGATTAATTCTCAGCCAGGGCCCGTCGGTGCCGAAAGTGAATCTTGCGGTTAGTAATAGCAGAGAATCGATCTCACGAAAGTTCTACGGCCCGCTGTAGTTGGGCAGCGGCGCGTATCGATAAAGCGTATGAATCGATCATCTCGGCATGCACGTCAAGGCTCTCACCGCTTCAGGCGTGTTTTATCGAATATTGTACAGAAATATTTTACGCATCGGCAGTTAAAGAAGAGAGAGAAAGAACAAAGAGAGTTCAGGTCGATTCAGTCGGGATAACGTTGACAGCGAGTCGCGAATCAGCAACGTATAATCCGAAAGAATCTAAATATCGATTTTGGTTATAGACAAAGGATAACGAAACTGCACTGCATTGTGCGGCGCAGTATGGGCATACGGAAGTGGTGGCACAGCTGTTGCACTACGGATGCGACCCTAGTATCCGCAACAGCCGCGGAGAATCTGCGCTCGACCTCGCCGCACAATATGGCAGGTAAATTGCGCACGCGACTATGTTTTTTCGACGTTACTCCAGTGCACATTTCTTTTTTTCCCTCGCGTACAGTTCACACACTGAGAACAAAAGTGTATTTATAGTCACGCGGATGAACAATTGCTATAAATTATCATCAAGAAGACCATTTTTCTTTCTTGAATTCTATTGTTAATGACATTATTATGTCATGTTCTAATGTTAATGACAATAACCTCATGTGGACGTTGTTAGTACCACTGTCTTAGAACAAAATATAGTTGGAGCCAAGAATAACTTTAGTCAGATCAACCCCAACTTTTTTTCTCAGCGTAGGATGTGAAATTTCACGCGATCGATAATAGTGCACTCGCCGATCGGTGTAGCGCCGATGCGCGACGTAATCGTGTCACCCTTCTTACAGGTTGGAAACTGTGGAGTTACTCGTGCGAACGCATCCTGAATTAATCGAGCCGCTTCGTAATTCTTCCTCGTCTCTGATCTTCCCGCATACACCTTTGCATTTAGCTTCACGCAATGGGCACAGGTAAGCATTGTGGACGTACAGATAAATCAATAAAGCCAGTCAACACTCTCATTGAGATATTGACCCTTGAGAGTTCATTCGCAGCACTGCCGTTTGCTGCCAAGTCGCGCCTTGTTGTTTTGCCTCTCATTTTCGCGGATCGTGGTTTTGGTCACGGCGGCGACGCGGATTATAATGACGCTGCCATCGTTCGGGTCACTCGTTTGTGTTTATCTAAGGACCGCGTATCACTTCTTCCCGCGAAATGGTCACGCTAATTACTGGATAATGTGCAATGTGTATTGTATCCGAGTACAATGGACTCGTTCGAGCTAACCATAACGATGTCGAGCCATTTGCAGCGCTGGCCATTAGAGCCAATCAGAGAGCACCGCGTTGCGTAATCCCGTCGAATGCGATATATACGTCCTCCGACTGGCATGATCCGATCCAACCCTCTACTGGTTACACGTCCCATATTACCGTCCCGTCGATTGCCCTCTCGTCCCTTCTCGAGCCACGCGAATGCATCCGATCGCATCACGCCGGCAGCCGCTCTGTCCATCCGTGCGGATTGCTGACCGCCTCCCGATTACGAGAATCGTATTAATCACTGCCGCCGAAACGTATCGACCTATATTAATCGCGACCATAGCAGCGAATAGTCGCGATTCTATGCTGCAACGAGATATCATTGCCCGCGCGAGGTAGAGAGAGAGAGAGGTAAAGATAGAGGCAGAGAGAGAGAGAGAGAGAGAGAGAGAGAGAGAGAGAGAGAGAG